GAATGGTTTAAATAATCCGAGGCACAATATTTTTCTCGTCACTAAAGTGTCCCAAATACAATAAAAGCTGTCAGATCCAAGATTTCACCAAAGAAGTAAACGTCCAAGACAAGCATCGTTGCGGGCTTTTCTCCAACATTCAACTGACTGTTGTAACTGGAGTGAGTGAGTTTAGTTTTACGCCGCACTCAGCAATATTCCAGCTTTATGGCAGCAGTCTGTAAATAATCGAGTCTGGACCAGACAATCCAGTGATCAATTGGGAACCGATGATATGTGTCAACCAAGCCAGCTAGCCTGACAACCCGATCCCGTTAGTCGCCTCTTACGACAAGCATGGGGTACTGAAGGCTCATTCTAACCCGGAAATTCACGGATCTGTTGTAACTGGAATACCAGACAGAGCGCGATAAACCCAGCTCACTCACTGTCGTTTCAGCTCTGATGCATTTGTTGCATTTTGTTCGTTTGCAAAAGCAATATTATCAATCATTACATGTTAGTGTAAAAAGGGACACTTTCACAATTTGAAATCGCCATCCTCGGACTATGGTAAATCGAATACTAGTAAATAGACAACTCAAATTTTGACAGGGATACCCGGATTCGTCAAAAATATACAATTGAGATATTAAGATAAAATACCATTTTTTTGTGCATCAAAAACATACAATTTTTCTATCAAATTAGGATGGTGATAGATTCTTTTGCTCAATTCCTCTTATTAGCCATATAAGGAGAATCGAATGCTGCTGGATGATGAATTGTATCGGAAGACTGACTGACTGAGTTTGGTTTTACGCCGCTTTTAGCAATATTCCAGCAACATCACGGCGGGGGACACCTGAAATGGGCTTCACACATTGTACCCTTGTGGGGATTCGAACCCGGGTCTTCGGCGTGACGAGCCAACGCTTTTACCACTAGGCTACCCCACCGCCCCTGTATCGGAAGAATATATGGATATCGGAAGATATGTTATCACTACGCATCTGATGTCTAGGGGTAAAATAAGATCATAATACACATATTTACCGAAGTTCATAAAAAAAGTACAAGGATATAGGGAGGATCATCCAAATATATGGTTCGTTATTTTCATTACATTAGTGAGAATAGCATACAAATTATTAAACCCTACCCTATTGTAAAAAGTCTCAAACAGATCAAGCGTTATAATCACCATGGATCTAGAATTCAAACCACGACCAGCTGATGCTTGGAGGTGTAAGGGGCGCAACTCGTGCAATCATCCTGTGACTCCTCATGGAAATATTTAATGCTAGAATTGTTTTGTTTAAGGTGAAATAAGTGACTGACTTACGTTGTAATCACTATAAATACATCATCACGTCACAGGAACAGAACAGTAACATTCTGGAATGTTCTCAAGGAGCGGGGATCAAACCCATACGAAAACCTTCGCCTGGAAAATACACGAACTGTCTCACAGAGCGATCCTCTAACGTCAGAACATCGATGTTGGCATTGGCTTTCTGGTAGGATATGTACAGCCTCTTATCGTAGAACACAAGTGCGTTGGCAGCATGCTTCAGCTGGTTCACCACGACCTTCTCCATTGAGGACAAATCCACCCGAAACAGATTCCGGTCGTCGGTGTAGTAAAGGAGGCCATTGGCGTGGTTGATATCCATCGGTTTCATCCACTGACCATCGGTCAGTTTTTGCAAGTCACTACCGTCATACCTCATGCTGAAAATTGCAAATGCAAAGGAAACATACAGCCTTTCGTTCCTCGAATCCAAAACAATCAGTTTCGGTTTGTTTGTATCGTAAATCCGATCCCTGACCACTCGGTAGCTGTTTCCGTCGGTTGCCATGACACTGACCAGATGGGACGTCCAGTCGGACATAAACACCAGTTGTCGTTCTCCGTCGACCACGAGGTGAATTATCCACTTCCCTTCGTCCAGCAGGCTCAAGTTTGACCCGTCAAGTCCGGCCGAAAACACATACTTGCTTGTCGAGTTCGAATTTGGATTCTTGTTACAGGCCCAGAACAGCAGCTTGGAAACGGGATCATATGCAATACTTTCTACGAAATTGTTTGTCTTGATAGTTCCTCTCACTTCTGGTTTCTCAAGTCCGACTCGCACCATGTCACCCTCAGCCACAGTGATCAGCAAACTGGCTTGCTTGTTGAATGCCGGCATGTCGGTTGAGACGTTAAATGTAACCCAGAGAGGCAAAACGGCTTTACGCCTTTTGGTTACTTTTGTTTTGACCTTTCGGGAGCGTTTAGGAGCAGATGGCACTATTATGTCGTCGTCTGCGTCACCGAAAGTTGAAAATTGGGTACGTTTCACGGGTGGACTTGCAGCCGACTGGCGTCTTAGCGGCACTTCAATGTGGCAGCTGCAGTTTCCCGCCAATGCTTCAGTCATCGTCTTCAAATACGACAAATGTTCGTCTTGCGTTGTCTTTAACGATTCTTTCAGTGCCATATTTTCTTTCTCGACATGAAAGATTTTCTCCTCCAACATCTTAAGTTTCTTCTCCATTACATCTAAAACTTGTCCCATAAATTTCGCGTTCTTTGCTGCTGCGTTTTCAGACACATTTTCGATCTGTTGTTCCATCGATTTCAACATCTTCGGGATAACCTTCACCCTTATCTCTTTCTTCATCTGTTTCCTCATCTTTTTCAATGATGAAGCCACCTTTTCGTCCATGGCCTCCATGCCTCGTTCCAGATCGCTAACTTTCGTTCTTAGCGAGCTCCCTGCAGTTATAACTGTCACGGCTGCAGATGCGGTTGCTATAAAGACATAGAGCAGCATCTTTAAGGTTCAACCTCCACTGTGCTCAGACACCTTGTCAAATACTGCATGCAGTTGGACGAAAGAGATGATGGCTCTCCCAAGGACGTCGGACGTCCAACTGGGTCAGCTATAGGCAGTTCGGAAATAACAACTTAGACCATTCACATGTCATGTAAGCAAACAACGGGGGACAATGGTACGTTTATGTAATTCAGCAGGCTGAGTGTAATCCAAGTGGTAAATATTAACACTGAGAGTTGTGTGGGGGGAAGGTTAACTAACAATGGAGGGTGATGTGAAACCCGTTAGATTCAACACAAAGCCCCAATGTATTATTGTAGTGAATTAGCAGGGGTTTGTTTGGACAGCAGTTCTGGGTATGCGTTGTGTAACAATGGGCTTCTTCAACAATCATTTCAGGAAAACAACTAAATTTAAGAATGCCTAAATCATTAGATGTTTTACATTGAATGCAGTCTGTTTGAGAAATATAATATAATATAATATAATATTAATATAATATAATATTTATAATATAATATAATATAATATAATATAATTAATATAATATTAATATAATATAATATAATATAATATAATATAATATAATATAAAATAAAATATAATATAATATAATATAATATATATAATATAATATAATATTTTCTTTCTTGTTTGTTTTTGCTTGTTCATTTCAGAATATTTGAAATATTATTTACATGATATATTATAATGGATACTCATTCAGCCTACATATTATCCGCCCTGACACAGATGCGAGTGTTATATTGTCGTTATTACCAGTTACTAACTGCTTCCGGCATAATGCAGGGGCATAGGGAAAGCCTAGTGTTCGCTCGTCACCTCGAAGACGCTGTTTCGACTCCCACATGGATACAATATGTGAAGCCCATTCCTGGTGTCCCCCGTGGTAATATTACTGGAATATAGCTAAAAGCGGCGGAAAATTAAACTCAGTCGCTCACTCTGGAAAATGCACTGATTACGAACATGCAATAGTCCTGTATACAGCGCCACGTGAAACTTGTAATCCTCCATAACCCAGTTAGGCTTGTACCAGATGACTTGATGGATCGAGAGGATCTCCAATGCAGTGGGTGCAATTATTTCCCATGTTCCTCTTTGTGCATTTGTGTTCACCTTTAGACCTGGCTAATGCCAGGGTCCGGTTCATATAGTAGAGTGGTGGTGGTGTGAGGGTGTCCTCTCTCCCCCGAAAATAAATTTCCCTGAGGAGCATTTCCCTGTAACCTTTGGAATGCACCCCTCCTTCTTCAAAATCCTGAATCTGGACTTTCTTCATCTAGGGCTTTAGAACTGCAAGGAGAGCTAGGCGGTAGGGAAAATAATGTGGTTCAGGGACTGTGAGACAGACTAACCCAAGACAATAAATTAAAAACTCAATATATCTAACGCGAGTCTGCAATGAGATGGCAAGTCTAGATGTTCCCGTTCTTCTGGGCTCTATTTGAATTGGGTGTTTTTTTCAGTTTGTAGATATATACTTTCAAATTAGACAACTTTAATTATTCCATGGCCTAAATGCTAATCTACAGGTCCCTGTGCTTATTGAGGCTGCCTCTATACCTGGATAATCTACAGCAGGTATTCTCCCTGCTCTATATCATGTTTGTTTATATAATTTATTCGTTATTCATTGTAATATTAGGAGACAAATTCTATATAGAGGCATCAATAAATACATTTTTGCCATACGGAATCGGTTTGTTGGTATCAGTAAAACTGATAGAGTATTAGATAATATCAAATTAGTTATATCAATAAATGAATTTATGTGTGTTGATATGCCCTAGCAATAAAACTGTTAATATTTATCAGTACCATAATCACTAAATATTGAAAAAAAACCCGAAGGAGGCGTATTTTTATGAAATCATCAGCGTTGTTAAACACAATATCACAAAATTTACTTGAATGTACCACGTTCAGGCACAGGCCTAGCTAAGATACATAGCGTTCACTGTCCGTGTCAGTGAACGCTATGTATCTTAGCTAGCACAGGCCCCCACTACGGCCCTATGTTATATAGTAGGGGGGCTGGATAGTAAACCAGGGCTTAGTTTATCGATTTTCTGACCCGCAGTTGGGGCCTGTGCGTTCAGGCAATCATGTGACCTTTACCTTGCTTAAGTTACCTTGAACCTTGACACGAAGGTCAGTTTGCGTCGAGAGAAGTTGTGATGACACTCCCCACATTCAGCGTCGTTAAGTAACGTGACAGCCCGATATGGTGGAGTCTGATTATGTTTGTATGTGTGAAATATGATCTCTACGATGGTCAAATGGCTTCTGATGCACATCCGTGTTGGGAAAGCGTGTTCATTCTGCGTTGACGTTCCATAACCAGCTATACAAAGTGACACCACTTGTCACCAGCGCCGAAGTGAATGGCATATATTTGTCAAGTGGACTTACAGTTAAAGCACTAGTATTGACAGGTAAACATACTTTTTGTAGCCTTGCTTCTCTGAGCATTAGAGTATTAATTAGTCTCTCTCTCTCTCTCTCTCTCTCTCTCTCTCTCTCTCTCTCTCTCTCTCTCTCTCTCTCTCTCTCTCTCTCTCTCTCTCTCTCTCTCTCTCTCTCTCTCTCTCTCTCTCTCTCTCTCTCTCTCTCTCTCTCTCTCTCTCTCTCTCTCTCAGATTGTAGACTGGACTCTGGATATATCATTATGATTACTATATAGAAGCCTGTGGAAACCCAGAAACCTACCTATTCTTGTATTAAGAAGCTGAGTACGCGTGTTACTGTACCCTGACCATCACGACCATTGCACATATTATCAGCTGATAACATGAATAATGTTTGTCAGTCCTGACCTGATTATAAGCAGGACAATGTCATATATCCAGTGCACGATTATACCATTATTTACAGTTAAATTAAGACATGTTACATTTTTATGTGCCTTGAAGTAAAAACTTGGCACCTACATATTCCTTATTTATTCATTTTAGTGGTGTGATGGACCTCAGATGAAACATTTATGTAAGTCTCTAGCTTCGACATTAAAAAAACTGTTTGACTTTAATATCTGATAGGGAAGAGGTATCTTTAAGTTCACTGCTACTGTTTTAAACACATGTTTTTCACAACACCTTTCAGTTGGGTTGTTCTTTAACCCTGTATTCAGCAATATTCCAGCTATATGATGGCGGTCTGTAAATTATCAAGTCTGGACCAGACAATCCTGAGTGATTGTCATCATGGACTCAGTGAATAGCACTATGCAGTTCAGCCTGGGCTAACAATGACATGCATCAACCAAGTCTCAAGCACTGACGTTAAAACCTGACCTCACCTCATCCCAATATGTTTGCAAATACTAATAAAGTTGGGTTGTTCTTTAACCCTGTATTCGCAATATTCCAGCTATATGATGGCTGTTGTTTGAAGTCTGAATTCTGACCATGGACTTGAATCTATATTGGGGAACAATGATCTAAGTACATGACATCCCAATAGTCCAAGTGTTTCTTTACAAGATCTTGATGACATATTCCAAGTGTAGTGATACACTTATAAGGATTACAGTAACATGTTTACTTTCTTGCAGTTTCATGGATCGATTTCTTTTTGAATATATGGATATGTTTTTAAAAAGCAAGTTTTTGTCTGTGTTACTTAATTTATTTGTTTTCAACTGGAGAAAATGGAACAGATATAAATACTTTCAAAATATTCAGAACCCCAGTTAACAGGAAAGGCAATTTCCTTGATTGGGGTGCTAGTTTATCTAAAGGTTTAGTCCAAACAAGCTGTTAAAAACAATAACAAACCATGATATTTATAGTTATGATAGTATGAATTTGAATTTGTGAACATTTACCAATTTTTCTTATTTTTTATGTAGTCATTGTATGTGAATAGAATAAACTTTGTGTTATCTAAGTTGACTTCAAGGGCTTGTTGTTAAAGTTTATTTTAAAGACGTCTTGTTAATATCAAGCTAATTTCATATCCTCAGTTCCACGGTTGATGTGAAACTGGCAATTCACACTGAAACCCTGTTGTTTTGAGTATATGGAAAGTTGAAATATGAAATACATTATTAATTGAACTACCTACCCATAGTTTCCAAAAGTGGCCTATCAATTTTAGTCTTTATATTCCTTTTTTTTGGTTGAATTTTTTTCCTGTAGACATATCACATACTCTTCTTCTTATCATTAATGTCACATAATCATATGCTTAAAAAACTTTAAAGAATGATGCAAATAAATAGTATAAATAGTCTTTATATTCCTGTACAGGGTATTTCAATGCACAACCACTTCACATAATGCCTTGTAATTCATTTGATATGCAATACCTCAGATACCTGTCATTATCATTCATATTCAAGATGTAAAGTTTGTGGGAAGAGTGAGTGAAATTGTTTTTTCATTGCTTTTAGCAATATTGCAGCAATGGACTTCACACATCGTACCATTATTGGGAATCGAACCCTCCAGCCCTTCTGAGTTGTACCGGCTAGTGAACAGTTATTGCAGCGTACAGTTATCGCGAGATTATCCAGCCAAGTTATCATCAACAGTTATCGCCACATCAGTATCACATGTGCACTGTCCCGGTCTATTACAATTCTGGTATTTTTTCCCAACGGTATTTGACAACATATAAGGACAGCAAAAGGAAATTCTTCACGGTAAGTAACATAAGAGAAAAATTAAAGATGAAGTGATGAACCTTATACAAAAATGTTTAACTTAGTCAGGGGTATGTCCCACAACCTATATAATAGCAAGTTCAAGTTAACAAGTCATTAACTGTTTCATTCCCTATCAATCTACTGTAAAAGAAACTCTCAAATAGTCACACAATCAATTATTGAAGGTTACTGTATGATATAAATATATATTATTTCACGAATGGCATGAGAAATTCTACATGGCGATAACTGTTACAGTTAGTTGTGAGAAAACACCTATTTGTACTGCCATGATTCCTTTCCGCCGCGTTATATAAAAACACGATCGGCGGCAGTGAATGGGCTGGACACATCGGTGAATAGCTAATTAAGTATCGTGAATGATTTTGTTTCATTAATTTAACAAACGGCGGAGTAATTTTGTAAGTACCGCTAAAATATGGCGATAACTTTCGGTAGCCAGTACTTGATATTCATATGACTGGTTATACTAAATCTTTAATCAATGTTATTCAAGATGCACAGTTTATTTCATGAACATGTTAACCCTGTAATGTCTTTTAGAAATTTATAAAGTAAGTGTATAACTGTATTTTCACATGATAATATTGATATTGATTCTGTGTGACAGATGAGGGCCACTGCTTGTCAACTTAATTGTGATCATGTTTGTAGCTAATTGAATTGTTTATGGACACATGTGTCTCTCATTATGTTCTTCTACACGTACCGTAGTGACTGTAATAATAGCCCTGGGCTTAGAAAATTGGCATACAGGGACCTATGTTGAATTTATTGTCAAAGAACAACCATAAAAGCTAAACTTTTGTGATAATTGTTATGTTGCAATTATGTAACCCTCACATACATAATCAGTCAAAATTGTGTGTGCTGATAATGCTCACCGACAGACAGGTCGAGAAGTGGTTTGGGGTTGGGTATTATAGGAGCACTCAATACAGTAAATATGGTATCTTATTTGAAAATCAATATTGATACCAACTGATCAGCTCTGAGTTCAAACAGGTTGCATGCTGATGTGTTGTTTGTTTATTTATTGCCACACTGGGCAATGTTCATGGTGAATGACAACAGCCTGTATTAGTAGGTTGGGACAGTCCAGTCCAGTCAGACTGATATTGCTGTTGGTTTTGTGGTGACAGTTATGATGATGTTGGACAAGTTGTTCGGACAACAATTATGAAAAAAGTTTCACTGAATGTTTATCAGTATCAGTAATTGGTACATGTGGAGGAGGATTGTCAGCCATCTTTGTCAGATAACCTACATAATATCATAGTTTCTGTTATCAAGTCTACAGTGTGTGTGCTACAGTTTGAACAGATTGGAGTGAATACTGAAGAACATTGATGCGAAAAGGCAAGGGTTTGATATTTATTGTCGTCACATGGTGGTGTGGCTTGGGGACTTTATTGGTGTTCATGCACTCAGCCACAGGTTTTACAAGTAGCGAAAATATGTGTTATTGTTCCATTGAATAACTTTCTCTCACTCACTGTCCGCCTGGACTTAGGGGATTTGTTAGTCAGGCTCGTTGACTTGGTTTACACATGTCATCGTATCCCAAATGCATAGATCAATGCTTGTGATGTTGATCACTGGATTGTTTGGTCCAGACTCGATTATGTACTACCATCGCAGCTGGGATATTGATGAGAGCAGCATTAAAACAACACAAAAAAACCCTGTTCAGCTGATCCTTAGTTTTATGACGTGGTGTTTTCTGATTTCATAACAGCCTGTTTATAATTATTGACAGGTGGAAGATGTGTATGGAGATGAGATCTGTAGGCATGTGAGTTTAACTGATGGGTTCTACCTAGCTGCCAACCTCAAATATGTTCAGTTAGATGCATATTAGCTAGGGCTGCACAATATAACCGGTTTACCGGTATTTACCGGTTCAGACATGAAAACGATACGTATTGCGATACTCTGATTGATTTTGACATGCATTCGGAAAACTTCCTAACACTCGGAAATCTTCAGATATTTCCGTTTTTTATGGTGTGGTGATGATGGTGATGAAGATGTTTATGATTGTGGCGTTTGTGGTAATGGTGGTGGGAATGATCGTGGTGAAAATTACACTTAACAGGATTTTTACGTACGGTTTGAATTTCAATTGTTTGGCAATGTTTTGGATCTGAATGTTTTAAATATTTATTCATTAATGACCAGTGATCTCTGATATGTCCTGACCAGCTCAAGTTGCTGTCTCAAATCTAAGGGCTTTTGTGGAGAGTGGAGAAACTAGTTCAAACTAGTAACCTTTAAACACTGTGTTGATGCTAAATTGTTCTTTTCCTTGTTTCATTTGTGCCAAATATTATTTACATTTTTTTTTTATCATAATTAAAAGTTTTATCAAAGCTTTTATCAAATCTTGCAATATATTGCAATACATATCGCAATATATGCTTTCGCATCGCAATATATCACAATATGAAAATTCTCTACAATACCCACCCCTAATATTAGCCATAGTGCAATGGTCGCAGACTCTGATCACGTCCAAGAGGATGCCTTGATTGGGTTGGTCGGTTTGTTGTTTAACGCTGCACTCAGCAGCATTCCAGCTATATGGCAGCGGTCTGTAAATAATTGAGTCTGGACTAGACAATCCAATGATCAACAGAACGAGCTGATCTAACAACTGGGATAATAGACATGTGTCAACCAAGTCAGTGAGCCTCACCACCCGATCCCGTTAGTCGCCTCTTACGACAAACATAGGTTGCTGAAGACCAATTCTAACCCGGATCTTCACTGGTATCCTTGTTTTGGAGTCAAGGGGTGCTTCACACTCCTTTGCTAACTTGAACCATTGGCTGGTATTTTGGAGCCCTGTGTGTTAACAAAGAAACAGAGAAATAATGAGAAGAGTACAATGACAATAGCACTGACAAGAGAATTTTGTGTAAAATTTAAACACATTTTAAATTTCTGAAAAGAAGTTTTGAACAAATAGGTTTGTTTGTTTGTTGTTTAAAGCCACACTCAGCAATATTCCAGCTATATGGCTGTGATCTGTAAACAATCGACTCTTGACCAGACAATCCAGTGATCAACAACATGAGCATGACATGTGTCAACCAAGTCTGTGAGTCTTACCACCCGATCCCGTTAGTGGCCTCTTATGACAAGCGTGGGTTGCAGAAGAACAATTCTGACTCGGTTCTGTGAAGTGACATAGGGATATAACATGGACTGGTTGTCTTGGAGAATATATATACTGTGTCTGAGTGGGGTATCCATGTTACTGTGGTGCGATATCTCAGTGGGCTGGCATAACAAAAATGGCATAAGTCTGCACATGCACTAGCAGCCACACATTATAACAAGTGCAATTATCATGCTCGCAATTTTATACCCCGTGTCACCGCCACCATGGTAACATCTTTATTGAATTTAACTATACAAACGGGTGATTTCTCACAGGTTCCGCATGAGTTATCTGCTCTTTGCTGGTGAAGGGGAAGGACTGATGACAAGATGGCGCTCTGCCGGACAGCCAGGTCAAGGACGATGGCAGTGTGGTGTACAGGACTGTGCATAATGGTCGTTGGAATTGGACTGATACCCATCATTAATGTTGTAGTGGACAAGAAGGTCAGACAGGTGAGTGGGTTGAACTGTAGTTTTGCACATAGCAATATTCTAGCTTTTATGACAATCTGTGTAAATGGGATGTGTGGACCAGACAATCCAGTGATTGATGTTATAAGCTTATCTGAGCAAGCGATGGACTAACTGCCTAGTGTGAAACAATAAAATAATGAATATATGTACCATGGAGTCCTGTCCATTAATAGTCCAACTGTTGTCTGGTTATAACAATAACTTCACCTGGTTTTTTGACAGGTACAAAATGCACAGAACCAGGTTCCATCAAATATTGTTCAAGTTTAACCATTCTTTTCAGGTTACAGGGTATGATGTTGAAGGGACATGACGATCCCGAATTACATGCAGTTCTACATGCTTAACTCATGTACGTGTGTCGGGGCGGTGGGGTAGCCTAGTGGTTAAAGCGTTGGCTTGTCACGCCGAAGACCCGGGTTCGAATCCCCACATGGGTACAATGTGTGAAGTCCATTTCTGGTGCCCCCGCCGTGATATTGCTAAAAGCGGCATAAAACCTAAGTCAGTCAGTCATGTACATGTGTCCCAGAATGTGATGGGTAGGTGGGGTAGTCTAGTGGTTAAAGCGTTCGCTTGTCACGCCGAAGACCAGGGTTTGATTACCCACATGGGTACAATGTGTGAAGTCCGTTTCTGGTGTCCCCCGCCGTGATATTGCTGAAATATTGCTAAAACTAGCGTAAAACTCACTCCCGGTGTACATGCAGTTCTATGTGTTTAACTCACATCTGTGTTCCAGAGTGTGATCCTAAAGGAAGGCGGTCTCCAGTATGACATCTGGAAGAACATGACAATCCCAGTGTACATGCAGTTCTACATGTTTAACCTGAAGAACCCAGACGAGGTACACAACGGCGAGACTCCAGACATGGAACAGAAGGGCCCATACACATACAGGTACAGAGTGTTTGGTATTTATTATTAAACAAGTGCACAGATTTATTTGATTAAAATTTACTAATTTAAAATTGTCCTGTCACACATTGTGACCGCCCAGTCCTCTTCTTTAGGGGGGCGGTGGGTCTTTGGTTAAAGGGTTGGTTGGTTCGAATCCCCAGTGGTTAAAGCGCATTTCTGGTATCCCCTCGCCGTGGATGTTGCTGGAATATTGCTAAAAGCGCAAAACCAAACTCAGTCAGTCAGTCAGTCCTCTTTTTAGGGTTGGTTGGTAGCCTAGCAAATTTCTGTCACATGGGTACAATGTGTGAAGCCCATTTCTTGTGTCCTCTGCTATGATATTGCTGGAATATTGGTTAAAGCAACATAAAAGTGAAGTCACTGAGTTTAGTCCCATCTAATGACATTTTTGTTAGCATAATGCCACACTCCGCAATATTCCTGCTTTATTGAAGCAGCATGTACATAATTGAGTCTGGACCAGACAATCCAGTGAGCAACAGCATGAGCATCAATCTATGCAGTTGGGATATGATGACATGTGTCAACCAAGTCAGCGAGTCTGATCACCTGATCCCGTTAGTCGCCTCTTACAGCAAGCATGGGTTGCTGAAAACCAGTTCTAACCCGCATCTTCATGGGTATAACGACAAGCATGTATCGATTGAATCACATTTATCAACACTGAATGGCAGCAATATGAATGTGGTTATGTCAATACAAGCTTCTAATCCTAAATGATACTTCCACAACTAACCCTGGGAAGTTATATATTTTATACATAGATCTACAAGCAATCTACGGAACGGGAGTAAACATTGTTTTCTCCAAAGGCCAGATCGTTTCTCAGTTTGATGAATGAATAGGTTGGTTTACAGAGAACCTGCTCTCCTCCAGAATCATGATATCCTTTTAGGATTTAGACAAGAAAAAAAAATAAATGAGTGAGTTAGGTTTTACGCCACTTGTAGCAATATTATGGCGGGGGACACCAGAAATGGGCTTATGGACCGTTCATTATTTATGGCTAGGGGGGTGATGATGATTTTTATGGAGAAGCATGTCCAATGTGAATGACACCCCCTAAACTTTATGTACAAAATAAGTGATCCCCCTGCATGTAATGTTCAAAGTCAATGACCCTCCTCCCGTTCACATAATTTCTAAGCATAATTTTAAGCATATTTTAATGCGCAAAATTGATGACATAAATATATTTCATTTTTGTGGTCATGCATGTAATTAATATCACATCATTGGTACACTTGCATCACCTGGTGACACCAGTGTTATTGTAGTTGTTGTATATATAGATGGTGTCAATAAGTTTTTTTAATGAAACCATTATGTTCACATTTATTGGAAATAATAAATAATAGGGAAATTCATTTCCTAAATGTATAGTTATTAGCATATATTTTAGTTCCTGTCATATTAAGGTATCTATACATCACCTTAGTTAAGGTAGATGTAGTACAACTCCTTCCATTGTCAAAGTTGACATATATCCTGTTACAATAGTGGGGGATCATAAAATGTAAATGTTAACAAAACTATTATAACAAAGATAAGAACTGATGACAAAGATCCCATGCATGACTGTTTATATCCCTGCCCTGTCATTGTTAAGGTAGATGTGTAAAATGCATTATTAAGGTATAGTGATACGACACCTGTCATTGTATGGTGGATTTGTAAAATGCATTATTAAGGTATAGTGATACGACACCTGTCATTGTAAGGTGGATGTGTAAAATGCATTATTAAGGTATAGTGATACGACACCTGTCATTGTAAAGTAGATGTGTAAAATGCATTATTAAGGTATAGTGATACCATGACACCTGTCATTGTAAAGGTGGATGTGTAAAATGCATTATTAAGGTATAGTGATATGACACCTGTCATTGTAAGGTATGTAAAAATGCATTATTAAGGGTATAGTGATATGACACCTTGTCATTGTAAGGTGGATGTTGTAAAATGCATTATTAAGGTATAGTGATATGACACCTGTCATTGTAAGGTAGATGTGTAAAATGCATTATTAAGGTATAGTGATGTGACAAAATGTATTATTAAGTAAAATGCATATTAAGGTATAGTGATACGACACCTGTCATTGTAAGGTGGATGTGTAAAATGCATTATTAAGGTATAGTGATATGACACCTGTCATTGTAAAGTAGATGTGTAAAATGCATTATTAAGGTATAGTGATACAACACCTGTCATTGTAAGGTGGATGTGTAAAATGCATTATTAAGGTATAGTGATATGACACCTGTCATTGTAAGGTAGATGTGTAAAATGCATCATTAAGGTAATTCGACACCTGTCATTGTGTAAAATGGATTATGTAAAATGCACCTTATTGAAGGTGGATGTGTAAAATGCATTATTGATAGTGATACTGACTGTCATTGTAAGGTAGGTGTGTAAAATGCATTATTAAGGTATAGTGATACGACACCTGTCATTGTAAGGTGGATGTGTAAAATGCATTATTAAGGTATAGTGATATGACACCTGTCATTGTAAGGTAGATGTGTAAAATGCATTATTAAGGTATAGTGATGCAACACCTGTCATTGTAAGGTGGATGTGTAAAATGCATTATTAAGGTATAGTGATACACCTGTCATTGTTAAGGTCTGTCATTGTTAAGGTATAGATGATGTAAAATGCATAAAGGTGGATAGTGTAAAATGCATTATTCCTGTGATACAACACCTGTCATTGATAAAGTGATGTGTAAAATGCATTATTAAGGTATAGTGTGGATGTCATTTGTTGGATGTGTAAAATGCATTTCAATAGATAAATGTATTGTAACTGCACAAGTCCTTGTTCAGGTAAATTGTGCATGCCTTTGTCAAGATAAATGTATACAAGCCCTGTCATGGTTAAAGTAGATGCTTGCAGTACATTAACTATGATCTCCATGTATGTTTGTGTTTACAGGGAGACAAGATACAAGGAGAACATCACTCACCACGACAACGGCACTGTCTCCTACCGGCAGATTCGGGTGTTCAAGTTTGATCGCAGCATGTCCGTCGGGGAAGAAACAGATCAGTTCACCACAGTCAACCCACCACTCATGGTAAGTACTTACCGTATTTTGTCCGTTAAATGTAACTTGAATTTTAATTCTGTTCGCTAATGTTGAAATATTTATCTCTTGTAGAACACAGGCCCTCGTTTCTTTGTGAAGATTAAAGATTTAAAAAATATTTTTTTTGAGATGACCCCTGACTCGAAACGCTTCACAGTACAATACATTATGACAAGGCCGGACACTTCAGTGTACCCAACCCGACTGCTTTGCCGATCGCTACGCTACCATCGCATGCAATCCATTAAAACTTAATGTAAACATAATCATGGATGATTGGCCTATCGATCAACACTCATGACACCTACCAATTCTTTATTGTTATTTCTGCAAGTCGATTGAAACCTGATTTGGACCCTCAACTAAACGATCTTGACACAAATGGACGATGATATGTCCGGACAAAACGGGTGTGTGGTCGAAGCAAGCCCTCTGATTGGTCAATGCTTGCAAATCTGCACATTCTTTGTAAATTTGCTGGAATTTTTTCTTTCATCGACTACTTAATGTAAGAATATTTGACATATAAATTTTTATAAATTTTTGTCAAAATCTTTAATCTTCACAAAGACACGTGTATAATACCAGAATAACTGAAAATATCTGACTGTCAAAACAAGGGCTGTGTATTGGCATATAAGTTGTACTGCAAGATATTGCGATTCATGTACCCGTATTGCGATACATATCGCAATATATCGGGAACTTCAGTGTGACAGTGAGTGACACTAATTATGCATGTCAATCCTATTTTGTACATTAAAAGTCCCTAAACATATATGTTATGGTTCTGATAACAGCAATCTCAAAAGTAGGTTGAATAGTGAGGGATTCTATTTTCTTTTTTATACAATTTATAGTATTACAAGATGCCGTTTTGTCATTGAATACGCAGGAAAATATTTGTTGTGAATGAAAAGTCTGTGTAGATTTTGATTTAAACCATAAAGATAATCACAAAAACTTCATATATGTACTTCACGAAATATACTGGTTCTCAGAAAAAATATTGCAATACATATCGTTTGAAAAGCGTATTGCGATATACCGGTAATGCCGTGTGTTGATTGCGTGGTTTATTGTGCCTCAAACCTGGACAAATTCAGATCAGACAAGACAGACACACATGTGAGCAGCCATTACTGTAATTCCAAGAAGTGGATAATACAAAAAAGATAAAGGCTTAAAAAACGAAATATAATCATCAACACCACGCAGTCCTAGACAAAACTAGTTTCAAAAACTGTTAGCTCATGGCATCGTATTCAAACAACTTCGTCGAAAACCAAATCTGAACAGTATTCATTTTTCATCGCCTCACAAGGATGATTCATGAAAATACCCTTTTTCCAATGTGTGAAAATGTCTGGCCTTTCATTGTTTTGCATGAGAAAGTGTTCCACTACAAAAGCTTTGTTTGTACACCTGAAAATGAAAATTGAGGCCATGCTGTTCCAAAGAATGGAGAATAATATGTCACTGTGACTGAATGGCTATAAATGTTGATGCAGCAGCAACTGCTGTTATTATGAAGCTTTGAGCACCTCACAGGCAGCTTGGTCTCTCTACTTCCCAAAAGGCTCAGAATGAGTGAGTGAGTGAGTATGGTTTTACGCCGCTTTTAGCAATATTCCAGCAATATCACGGCGGGGGACACCAGAAATGGGCTTCACACATTGTGCCCATGTGGGGAGTCGAACCCGGGTCTTCAGCGTGACAAGCGAACGCTTTAACCACTAGGTTACCCCACCGCCCCGGCTCAGAATGCAATTTCAGTGCACACTGATCCAAGAGAATAATTCTGGTACATAGTATTTAATGAACAGTGGAGTAGCTGTTCAAGTTCAAGGTAAGGTGTTATGGACATGTCTTGTTGTTTTAGCTGTTTTGCAAAAAGGTATAACTACAATATTTGCCATGTTAAAAACCCTGCTGCAGTAAGCGCACCCTGACAAATTCAAGATGAATCTGTAAGTAATCTTTATATGGTCCACTGAGTTAAGATCTAGAACTAATTTTAACATGTGTGGATAAAATAATTCAGCTGTGAGAAATTACCAGATTAGGTTACAATACAGGGAGGTCATGGATAAGACTGACTGACTGAGTTTGGTTTTACGCCGCTTTTAGCAATATTCCAGCAACATCACGGCAGGGGTCACCAGAAATGGGCTTCACACATTGTACCCATGTGGGGATTTGAACCCAGGTCTTCGGCGTGACGAGCCAACGCTTGAACCATTAGGCTACCCCACTGCCCCTCATGGATAAGAAACCACTCTAGTTTACAGCAATGTGTGTAAAGTGGAAACTAGTTCACATCTTGTTTGATGTCTGGAACAGTATCCTTGTTGATTTGACGGTTCTTTTGAGCTGCATGGCATTGTTTTGGTGGTAGAAGTATAGGCTTATAATATGTAGTTGAAAGACTTTAGATATTCAAGAGTTCAATTCCCAGACACAAAACTTGTACACTCATGTCAGCAGATATCTGCAATATTGATTTGTGTTACTGTTATTTGACCCCATGAAGATCTGAGTTAGAAGTGGTCTTAAACAGGCCACATTCATATATCTGGAATATTGATCAGCCTGATTTTAAACAACAAACTAACAAAAGTTTTCTGTTTTTTATTCAGACACTTCTAACTGCCCTGAGGTTCCAGTCTGATTCATTGAGGAAGTTGATCAGCGGCATTCTGAGACTGACGCCATCGGAGGTGTTCATGACGAGGCCAATGAAGGAGATTATTTGGGGCTACCATGACCCCCTGCTCAAGGTCGCAAAGGGGATTGATCCTGAATGGTTCTATACAGACTTTGTTGGATATTTCATCAATGTAAGACCTCATCTAGTGGTATATTTTCTCCTGCCTTTTGCTTCCGAAAAATGCATATGCAGTGAAACTCAAGTGTTTCGGATTCTCAAATGGGTTTAATCCTGACCGGGAAATTCTAAACATTTATGGACTGTTTGAGGGACCTAGTTTAAAAAACCTATATAGGTATCAGGGCTCGATTTAGTGCTTTGTTACTTGCACTGGTGCAACCCAATTTTACATAGTGCAACCTAGCTATTAGTCTAACTTGCACCAGGTGCAAGTCAATTTTTGAGTGGATAAACTTTAAATAAAACATCTAAATAATTCAATAACATATTTCTTTCATTACATATTGCAATAAAAGCAGTACAACTGAAATCTGGCTGGTGCAAATAGGTTTTTATCTTAGGTTGCACCTGGTGCAAGTAGGTTAATGTCCATAAAACGAGCCCTGGGTATGGAGGTTGGTCACCACTCCTGGTGTTCCCTGTCATGATTGGCCAGGGATATTGCCAAATCCAGCCGCATACAGCCATACTCATTCACAATTTGCCCTGTTGCACTGCCCTGGAATCTGATCTTGGTATTTTGCCCTGATAGGTAGCCCTGGTATCTAGTCATGCTATCCAACCCTGTTCCTCAAAGTGAACATAGTGCAAGGACACTCATAACACCTCTTCCTTAACATAGCCTTCTGTCATTGGGGAACATTCCTGGAGTTGCGCCCCCTTGCCCGCTTGGAGCACTGCGGTAGTTACGGTCCAACAACAGCTGTCACTCTGATACTGGCCTGCCTATCGGCCAAGCCTAAACTTCAATCGACATTAAACCTACTTTTAACTCTGTGGTTCTTATATTATGAATTACGGAATCTGGAAGTTGTCCCGACTGACGATTGTTGTCAAAGCACGAAGAACTAGCGTGTCTGGACGAAAAATAATGCTAATAGAACGATGCTGCAGTTATTGTAATATTGCCGTTTCTCGGGAATTTCTTATTGAGTAGTTGCTTTGTAAATTCGTCAAACCATTTACTCCCCATTATGTCACGTTACACAGAGCATTAATGGCGTCGTAATAGTTGTTAGAACATAGGATTAGTGTACACTGAAATTAGCATTACACAAATAACGTTAGCACTGACCTGATTACGCGCACAACATAAGTGCTTCAGTTTTCTTTCACGTAAACAACCTATTCTCATAGACTATAACACTTTGGGATGCAATGGAAAGAGGAAATGCTGTGGCAACGGATCGTTTTCGAAAGGATTTGAAACATAAATCATTAACATTTGTGGAATGCACCTGGCCCTGACATTTAGTCATGCTATCTAGTCCTTCTATCTCAAGCACGGTATCAAGTCATCATATTCACTCCAGAATCCAGAAGCATATGTTTGAGTGACCTGTGCCACACTTGAAAGAAAATATGTTTGTACTACTGTTGTTCTGTACAGTGGCTTATGTGAAACAAGTCTGTAAACTGACCTGTAAAAGCTGAAGCACCTATAGATATGATTAATGCGAGGCAAATGAACCCATGCATTAAAGGGAGATAATTCACTTAACTTGATGCCAATACATAGACATTGCAACTAAGGTCACTAACATTCTAATTCTACTCATATCCAAAGTTAAAAATATGTTTCTTAAGTCATGGTTATCAGTTTTTAAGTGTGGCTGTGAACCAAATCTGTAATCTGAATTAAATTACGTGAATATATAGTCTATATGTTGTGTAGTGAGAACATGTGTGACCTTCACCTACAGAAAAACAACACAGATGATGGTGTCTATACAGTCCACACAGGGGAGACGGACATCAACCTGTTGGGGGTCATCGATAAATACAATGGGTCCAGGTAAGCGAAACAGCCACAGTGACTAACAGTTGAAGAGTACTTGTTTGTTGTGGAGCGTCCGCCCGGAGAGCGTAAGGTCGCGGGTTCGATCCCCGACCGCGTCATACCAAAAGACGTTAAAATATGATACTTGTTCGGCCCTGCCTGGCGCTCGGCATTAATGGGTATAACAAGGACTGGTCGGCTCAGAGTCAGTATAATGTGTCTGAGTGGGGTATTCATGCTTCACTGCGGCATGGTATCTCAGTGGGCTAGCACTATAAAACCAGCTTCAGTCTGGGCTAGTACAAGCAGCAACACATACACACGCATGCACGTCGTCATATGAGCGAAATATTCTCAAGCACGACGATAAACCCAATTTCACCTCACCTCACTTGTTTGTTGTGTAGAATGCAATTAGATCAATGCCATCTCCGACTGAAGTTACCATGTGAACATGTTACTATGAAAATAATGAACATTCTGTTCTTACTGAAATCATAGACAGCTCTGATTTTTTAATCAACTGAGCTGAACAACTTTTTTGTGAAAGAAAGAAATAAGACATTTCCAACAACATAAACGCTATATTTCAGGAACAGTATGCTTGTATTTGTAACAAGTAGCATACATAAATAATAAAAAATACAGTTTATACTTTGAGCAAGTACAATTATTTGCTTTTTCTCAAGCGAATTATTGATCTCCCCTACTGTATGACAATCGACTCGCCCAAATGCAAGCCGTGAACTTAAATTATCGCTAAGTTTAGTTGCCGCTAACTTTATTCATATCGTATCGTAGCTTCAGTGCACAATATATCGTCGTGACTAAAATGGTATAATGATGTTTCGTATCGCAGGTTGTATGCCAATACCAGCACTACTTCTTTATGAAGTGAACTACATAAAGTCTAGTCTCATATCAGAACTATGAATTTAAAAAATGAAACGTGCAAAAGACACACTATTCTGTCCCGTTTCTGGGACATCAAGCTTACCATATAACAGTTTATGAACCTGTGAGGTGAAATTTCAAATGATCCCATCATCAATTAACATACAATAAAAAAGGTGTATGCACTAGTTGCACCGAAGGCTTTCAATAATCTCAGTATATAGTACTGTGCAGTCATGCTGGATTTCCTCAGTAGGACAGTGTCAGAACTAAGTTTTTAGACATAAGTCATTTTACTTGTTTGTTATTACTGTCCTTTAAAAACATATTTTTTTCTTGTAGTTACCTGAATTTCTGGTCAACAACTTGGGCCAACATGGTGAATGGAACAGGTAAGAACTGGGTTAACCTTTTTAGCAATTGTGTGAGTTGTTGGGTGAGAGTTGGGTTCAAAGCCGCTTTAGCAACATTTAAGCAGTATCATGGGGAGACACCAGAAATGGGCGTCATACATTGTACCCATTTGGGGAATCAAACATGGGTCTTTGGCGTGACCAACAAACGCTTCAACCACTTGACTACCCCACCACGCTGTATCATTATAATTGACAGTGAATGTGTGTATGACCCCAACTCTGAATGTGACATTAGCATTAATAAGGAATGTGTAGCCTTCACAGCATGTCTGTGAAAATATGAGTGGCTTTTAGAGTAAATGTGAGATTAGCACTGATTAATGTGAATATGTAAATATTGTGTTCAGTCACACTGACAGTTAACATGAACAAATGTTTAAAACAAAGAAATGTTTTTAGTATTCAACTTGTAGTTCATATCTATCCCTGTGTTTCGTTCAGGACAGGCATGGGAGACCCAGTTGTCTAAGGTATTGGAATTTTAATACAGAGTTATGTCCCTTAGTCCTGAAAGAGACCTTTGTTCATGGGTTTGAATACTGGTTTGGCCCAGTTATGTTTATGTGTTTATCAGCAACACACCTGTTTATCTTATAAGACTTGAGGGGTGGTCGGGAGTCCAGTGGTTAAAATGTTCACTTATCATGCCAAAGATCTGGGTTCAATTCCCCATTCTGGTACAGTGTGTGAAGAATCTTCGTGGTGTTCCCACAGTGATTTTGTTGGAATATTGCTAAAAGCAACGAAAAACAATGCTCACCCATTAGTGGTGTTCCGATTAATTGAAATAATCGAAGATTGGTCGCAGTGACGAAACTACCAAGCAATCGATCACAATTTCTCATAATCGAACATAAACGATTTTGGAACTACTGTTTATGTCTTTGAAATACTTGACAATGGAACATATCTTAGAAGTTGTCAGGGCCTGAAAACGTGTTTAATTCGTAGAAAACTCACTTCACTAACTGAAAAGCCATAACTGAATGTTTCTCTAAGACTCAAGGAAGTTTATGTTCATGATATATAAGTCATCACTTTAAAGTAGCAAGTTGCATCATGTTATAAATATCTGCAATAACAACCTGGATAGGAAAATCTGAAAAATGACGCTAACCAATCTTTTTCGATGCTTGTTTGTTGGTAATGAAGCAATCATCAATTGTGAGATTTCAACCAATTCCTAACACTATCACACATTCGCTCATGCTACAGTCCGTTTGAGTCAGAAACGGACCAATGAATTGCAATTTTATCATTGTACAAAATTGCCACATAAATATAAATAGTACATATTCATCTACAAAAAAGAAAATGACTTTAAACAGGGAAAAGGCTTTGGAAAATAAATTAAGAGAATTGGAAATCGACCTGGATACAGAACCAGCCGGAAAAAAGACAGAAATATTAAAAAAAGTAAATGAAGTTAAACAAGACTTAGAAGAAATTAGCAAACAAAAGATAAAAGGTTTATACATAAGATCTAAGGCAAAGTGGATCGAACAAGGGGAAAAACCATCAAAGTACTTTTTACAATTAGAAAGCAGAATTTTTAAAAATAAATCAATAATGGAATTGGAAAAAAAGGACGGTACAGTGATAAAAGATTATAAGGAAATACTAGAAGAGACTAGAACATTCTACAAAAAACTTTACTTAAGTGAAGACTGCACACAAATTAAATTAGAAGAATTGCTCGTAGAAGATGAAATACCTAAACTGTCAGAAGAAGCTGCCTCATCTTTAGAGGGAGAAATAACATACAAAGAAACGCTTGTCGCTTTAAAGAAAATGAAAAATGATAAAAGTCCGGGCCCCGATGGCTTCTCCAGTGAATTCCTCACGTTTTTTTGGAATGACTTAAATAAATTTCTAATTAACTCCTTGAAATATGCATATGAAAATGGTTCCATGTCCAGTATCACAAAAACAAGGTCTTATTACTTGTATCCCTAAGAGTGGTAAAAGTAAAAAATGCTAAAAACTGGAGACCAATATCACTACTAAATACCTCCTACAAACTAGCTTCTGCAGTTATAGCAAATAGAATAAAGACAATATTACCACTTATTATCAGTGAGGATCAAAAAGGTTTTATTCAAGGAAGATACATAGGAGAAGTCACAAGGCAGATATCTGACGGCATAATGGACTATAGTGAATCATATCAAATTCAGGATTATTACTGCTTATTGATTTTGAAAAAGCTTTTGACTCGGTTGACAGAAAATTTATGCAAAATGTAATGGACTTTTCAACTTTGGACCATGTATTCAAAATTGGATACAAGTACTGCTAAACGATAGTGAATCAAGTGTATTCAGTGAAATGGGTTTTATGAAGTGAGTTTTTCAAGATAACTAGGGATTCCGACAGGGAGATATATCACCTTACATTTTATCCTATGTGCGAAATACTAGCTATTCTAATAAGAAAAATAAGAAAATTAAAGGCATAAAGATAGGTAATATACAAAGCCTTTTAGCCCAATTTGCAGGCGACACTACAGTGACCTTAGGCGGATCTGAATCAAGTTTGTATGCAGTCTTGAACACATTAGCCTTCTTTGCAAGATTTTCAGGGTTAAAAGTTAACATGAGAAAAACCAGGCTAATATGGATAGGGTCAAAAAAAAAATCTAGGTATAAGATGTGCAAGGAATGGAATCTGGATTGGACACAATCAAATTTTAAACTTTTAGGAATAGTCTTTGATGTTGAATTAAATAACATTGTAGACCTAAATTATAATGATAAATTTGAAAAAATCTACCAAGAAATGAATATTTGGTCTCTGAGATATTTGACACCAATGGGCAAAAATGTTATTCTAAAATCCTTGCTTTTACCAAAGTTAAACCACTTATTTTCATCCATCCCAAGTCCATCTGAAGACACATTACAAAAGTTTAAAAAAAAGTGTTTTAATTTTGTTTGGCAAGGGAAAACAGATAAGGTAAAGCGAGAAATTATGTATCTTAAACCAAAGGATGGAGGAATAAGTGTACCCATTGTAAGAACTACTATAATTGCTAAAAAAATAATGTGTATTAAACGGTTGCTGCTCAACAGTTCAAAATGTACATCTATTGCAAATGAAATCCTAGACAATGCAAATAAATTATGGTATGCTGATGCACAATATGTGTGCAATAATATTATTCCCAGTGTCTCAAATCAATTCTGGAGTGATGTGTTAATGGCATGGTGCCACTACTTAAAAAGGCGTTACACAAATGTGCAAGAAATATCAGATATTTTCAACGAGTCTGTATGGTTTAATAATAACATTAAAATAGAGGGAAAGTCAATCTACTATGAAAATATGGCAAAAAACGGAATAATGTTAGTATGTGATATCTTAGATCAGAATGGAAACTTCTTACATAAAGTTGATATAGAAAAAAAATATGGAATTGCAAACATAAACTTCCTCCATCTAGAAGGTATAAAGTGTACTGTCTTAGCATATTGCAGACTCAGAAAAATACCTGATACAGCTTGGACCTATCAGGTTAAATACCCAACATTACCCTTTAATATATCTTGCATCTTCGGACAAAACCAAAGGAGTAAATCCTTTTATAACGTACTTTTACCTCAAGTTGAAACTGAGGAAACAAGCCAAAAAAAGTGGGAACACATCCTCAACAAACAATATAACAAAGAAGACTGGTCTAACATATATTTAATGGCAAATAGATGTACAGAAAGTGTACAGTTAAGATGGTTTCATTTCAAGATTACTCACAATATTTTAACGACTAAACATAAGTTACATTTGATGAATTACACAGACTCTTCAATGTGCACATTCTGTGAATCTGCTCCTGAAACAATTATTCATTTATTGTGTGAATGTCGATATACCGTGAAAGTATGGAAGGAGGTATCCGATTGGCTGGATACACTGTCTGAAGGAAATATTCATTTGTCGCACGAAAATATTATCTTTGGTTTCAAAGGTAAAAACAATAACCCACTTAATCTGGTGTTTCTAATAGTGAAATACATGCTATATAAAACAAGCCGAAATAATATAGAGCCAGATTTTAGAGTGCTTCAAAGGGAAATACTCAACTACTATAAAGCTACCAAATATACAGCCTTTTCAAATGCAAATCCAGCAAAATTTTATGCCTTCTGGTCTTCCTTCCATACACTTTTTGCTAATTATACCAATCTAGATGTTATATAAGTATACCCCGGTAATAAAATTTGACAAGTGCATCTGAATACAAGTACTGGTATACATATTAGCCTTGGGTAAGGATAACAGATACATTATAGTAAATCCACCCTGAACATACAATGATTGTTTTGTATTGATGTATTGATTGATTGTATTGATGGTGATGTTTGCACAATGTTTGATGACGAGGATGTGTTGTGTATGATGCTTTTGTACTACAACTACAACAAATGTACTTTGGGAAATAAAAATATTTAAAAAAAAATAAATATATATAAATAGTACACATGTTTATCATTTACTAATACCCAACAGCTTTCTTATATTTGAAAATATTTTGGACTCCACCAAAAAAACGCAAAAGTTGTTATCTGTCACGGCGGGGTGAAACCGCAGAAACGGAACAGCCAGTCATGGCGGGGGACATCTCAAAATCTATTCCGGGAGACCTGTCGGTTCCTCGTCCGTCGTAGTGTCATAGTCACAACTTAAAGGGATGACCAGTGGTGCCACAGTTGCCTGTTGTAAGCCATCCCGAGACCAGTAACCTTGTTAAATGACGTTAGCTACCTTGTTGACACAGTTTTGCCAAGTTTCAGTCGTGATTTTGTTAAGGGATTCCTTAACCAAAACCTCTACGTCACATAATCTAAAAGTTGTGTTTGATCTGGCAACATCTCCTTTGACAATACCCCATATCATTTCAATGGGGTTAAGGTCGTAGTGATAGGGTGGAAGTCGCAGAATATCGTGACCCTTACTTTTTATGTAACTGCCAACTTTGTAGAAAGGTTCACCTATGTGGGTTTTTATGATCTCATATAGCTGAGGCTTCGTTGCCTTTGAGCCATGATATCATATCACCTTTTCGACTGTTCGATGTCGGGGCTTTACTGTCGGGGTCCTGCACGCTGTGGTATGGGGCATTGTCCATTACGATAAAAGACTTCTCTGGTAGAGCTGGTACCAACTTGTTTTTACCCAATCGAGGAAAACCGCACCATTCATCTCGGAATGGTAGTCTCTGTTATCTGTGGACTTTGCCCTGAATACCAAGTCGCAGCCTGGGAGAAAGCCTTTGCTGGAGCAACCAGCATGGAGAATGATTAGTCTCTCTCCTTTCCCTAGAGGCAGCTTTCTACGTGACCCCTTATCACCCCCATCAGGTACCCACTGACTGCTGGCAGTGTGTGAGGCATTGACCCAGGTCTCGTCCAAGTACACTGGCTCGAACCCTTCCTCGAGCTTCTTCTTTATAACCCTGAGAAAATTATTTCTCAAGCGAACGATATCAGGGCGTTCACAGAGTACTGACCTATTCTCCCCAAAAATTTTCGATAAATAACGATACCCGAAAGAGTGTAAGAGTCGCCAGAGTGTGTACTTTGATACTCTGAGGTTGTGTTCTTGCTTCAAATGCTTTTTTAAAATTTTCAGCAACATGTATTTGTTTTCAGACTAGAGCTTGTTGATAGACTGCCTTACACTGTTCTTTTGAAAGTTGTCCAAATGTTTTAATTTGTGTGAATTTGACACGACCCCTACCTGCTTTGCATCACCCTCACAATGTTTGTGTTCCAGAACATTTGTCAGTACCCTTGCTGATACTCCTAAAGCTTTTGCTGCCCGTTTACGGAATTTATTCATGGCGTAAAATGGTTTGCCCCTTTCGGCTTCAGCACGGAAAAAATCGTACACTTTAATCATCAACTATTTCACGTCAGCATTCAACTTCATTTTTCATCAGGCATGTGTATCCCGTGCACGACGAGATAGTGGCTGTTCCGTTTCTGTGGTTTCACCCCGCCGCGACAGATAACAACTTTTGCGTTTTCAATGATGATAGATTCTTAAACAACTTTTTTGGTGGAGTCCGGAAAATTTTCAAATATAAGAAAGCTGTTGGGTATTAGTAAATGATAAACATGTGTACTATTTATATTTATGTGGCAATTTTGTACAATGATAAAATTTGCAATTCATCAGTCCGTTTCTGACTCAAACGGACTGTACATCAAATTGTCACAGCATGCTTTAAGTAAAATACCATTTGAAAGCAAATTTGAACTCATCTCACGAATGAACGAACGAACAAACAAACAAACAAACGTATGAACGAACGAACGGACGAACAAACAAACAAACAAACTCAGTATTTGCTGTAATATATGTCCACTTGTTTTTCTAGATGGGACAATAGCTCCACCTTTTATACAGGAAGTTAAGAGACTGCCTACATTCTCCTCTGATGTTTGCAGGTAAGACTTCTAGACAGGTCTTTGAATGTCATAGCAAATGTCTGTATTCAGTCAAATCACTGTATGCATTTTGATATCCAATGTCACTGTTATGAACTTTAAAACATTGGATTGTGTAATTTTTAATGCACCAGAAATGGGCTTCACACATTGTACCCATGTGGGGAATTCGAACCCGGGTCTTCAGCGTGACAAGTGGATGCTTTAACTACCAGGCTACCCTACAGCCCCGTATGCTTTCAGTATCTAACTTGATGGATGTGTATTTTATTGCTAGGATGAATAACCTGGAATGCTATATCAAATGAAAAAACAAACAACAAATCATAAACTCTTTCCCTGCTGACTCAAACAAATACTACCTTCCCAATGACCCACGAATATCTGCCTTGATCTTGAAATGTTACCAGCACTGTTTGTAGGTTCAACACTTTCACACTTTCAAGCACTGCATGACTGTATCCCCTTGCAAATACAATGGTCACAATAGTTACACAGAATATTTACTGTCATAAACACATTCCCATGTCATAAACACATTCCCATTTTGAGGTTTGGAGATGACTGATGCTAGAAAAAAATCATGTGAAACTATGGTCATGCTCTTGGAGCACTGTGGACCGCCTCCGTGGTGTAGTGGTTAGAGCGTCCGCCCGGAGAGCGGAAGGTCGCGGGTTCGATTCCCGACTGCGGCATACCAAATGACATTAAAATATGGTACTTGTTGGTCCCTGCCTGGCACTCGGCATTAATGGGTTCGACAAGGACTGGTCGGCTCGGAGTCAGTATAATGTGTCTGAGTGGGGTACTCATGCTTCACTGCGGCATGGTATCTCAGTGGGCTAGCACTACAAAACCAGCTTCAGTCTGGGCTAGTACAAGCAGCAGCACATACACATACACACGCATGCACGTCGTCATATGAGCGAAATATTCCCCAGCGCGACGTTAAATCCAATTTCACTTCACCTCATCTTAGAGCACTGCAACATTTCGTAGCATTGAAGTGGACAGGGGTGGCCTTGACATTCAAGATGCCACAATTTACTGAAGTGGTAACTCTCAAAGTGTGATTACACTCTCTCAGTATATTATGGACTGAAGTACTTTAGGGGAGGGAGTGAATGTCCCATCACACATTCTCACACTGACTAACTCACTCACTTGGTGAGTTATTTGATGGTCTATGATAAAACCCAACTGTCATGGTAGCTCATGCACTTAACCTATGGTTTGCTTGGTCCAAGCTGCTTGAATTCAAAACAACATTCACTCCCTAACTCGAGGAATCGTTATATATTTCTCTTCTTACAGCTTGTATACTGTTCACAGAAGTTTAGAATCCACTCTGGGTTATTATGGTCAGCAATACTTCGGGCTTTCCTCCAACATCAATCTGACACCCGTAATATTACGGTACTACTGTTCAACGTGGTGTCCAGTCTCTCAGTCACTCACTCACTTGCAACATCAAATCATTGTTGAGAAAGGTTAAAATAATTGGACCCGTGAAGATCCGGGGTAGAATAGGTCTTCAGCAACCCATGCTTGTCACAAAAGGCGACTATGCTTGTCGTAAGAGGCGACTAACGGGGATCGGGTGGTCAGGCTCGCTGACTTGGTTCACACATGTCAGCGGTTCCTAATTGTGCAGATCGATGCTCATGCTGTTGATCACTGGATTGTCTGGTCCAGACTCGATTATTTACAGACCGCCGCCATATAGCTGGAATATTGCTGAGTGTGACGTAAAACTTAACTCACTCACTCACTCTTGCTACAGGTCAGTGTATGGTCTCCACTCGTCTGATGTGAAGACCTCCCAAGGAATCCCCCTCCATCGCTTCACAGGGAACCAGGCGGAACTGGGCAACATAACCCTGAACCCAGACAACATCGGTTTCTGTACGCCACAGACCAACTGCTTCGGGACAGGGGTCTTGAATGTCAGCGCTTGTCAAAGTTGTAAGTTGTCCAATAATGATATGCTTCTTCCACTTGCATGCATTACAAAAATACGCTTTGTTAGAAAATCTTTACAATGAAATTTGTTTGTAACGTATATGGGTAAATTGTATCTCTTACACAAAAACTAAAACAACCAAATTCTTGTACATTTAATGCTTGATGCTGCACACTGAGGGCACTCAAGTTAACCAAAGTGTTGGAAAGTCCAGGAACTCATTGCACAATGGGACCATGGTGCTACGATTGACTTACCTGTACATGAGACTATTGGAGTTACGTCCAACATTGCACTGAGTTCGCTTTGTGGAATGGGACCAGAAGTTTGTCATAGGCAGAGGGGTGTTGCAGAGGTGTGCTACCCTCCTTTTGTCACAAAACCATTACAATGTAGATACATGAACCATTACAATGTAGATAAAACTACAACCCAAACAAAGACATATTGTTCTATCAGATAGATTGAGACGTGGCCCCAATTTCTCAAAACAAAATTTAGTCTGACTTTGACTTAAGTTAGAGTATTTTCTCAAATTTGAGAAAATGCAGGAAAATGCAATTCCCAGAATGAACTGAAATCAATATTAAACTCAAACACAGTAGACCATTTGAGTTTGGTGGATGGATTACTTAAGTTGTTTGGGCTTTTTGGTTTTAAAAATGCATTTGAGTGTTTAAAAATTCAGCTGTTTCAAATGGTCAAAAGATTTGAGTAAAAACTTAAGTGTGTTTCGAGAAATCACGGCCTGTTTTGTGTCGGTCCCATTATCTCATTCATAAAGTGTAGTGTTGACATTATATGGAGTAATGAGCAGTGTTCACATGTATTCCCACAAGGGTTGCAAGGATTGTTACACATGGCAGAACAGAAATAGACATAATTCAGTGTGCTTTTCTAATACAGTTAACTACAGTTATAATGAACAAAGGGGCAACTTATTTTGGTTCATAATTAGGCCAGACCAATTTTAATTCTTGTTTTACGGATCTACCTGTCGTATTTTTTTCAAGAATAGGAAAAAAATATAAAATAATTTTCCCGGCTCAAAAAGTAAAATCCTGATGTTTTCATTGGCCAAAAATGTAAACTTACAAGAAAAATGTTTTTTTAGATGTTTTTTTACCCATATAAGCTTCATGAATTGCCAAAAGTAAAATACTTTCAGTATTTAGAAGGAATATTACTTTGACTGTTCTTTATTTTTTTCCCTCCTGCTTTTAGGTTTTCAGAGGACAAAAATTCGTAAAACAAGAAATAAAATTGGCCTTGCCTTACCATAGTTTAATGTACACATTTTTCTAAAATGCACTGCAAGTGGCAGCTACCAAAAGACAACAAGTCATCATGGTAATAAAACTAAGGAGAATAAGTCAGCCTTATCACTAAACTGTTGCCATTCAAATGGTCTGTCTGAATAGATGAATAAATTGGATTACAAGTTATGAAAATATTTGTTTCCTAAAACACTACTTCTTTAAACAAGTACCACAGTACACTGAACAAGCTATATGTCCTCACAGAAAATGTGCACGATGTCATGTTTTGATGATGGACTATGAATAACGTGTACCTGATAGATATTCAAAACATGTTTATGAATGCCGGTGCTGACAGTCTCCATGGTTACCTTGTTTCAGTGGACTATTTCCAGATTCCGGCGGTTGTCTCCTTTCCACACTTCTACCTGGCGGAGGACAAGTATGTCCACGGGGTGTACGGCATGTCACCCAATAAGGAGGAACACGAGACTGCCATTGACATAGAACCAGTGAGTATAGAGAACCATGTGGAGGAAGAACTGAAGGAGGGCTGGGGAGGGGGAAGAGTGTGTGATATTGTGTGTGGGGAACAATTGAAGAATCACTTTTAGCTTGATGATGGTGTAAGAATCTACATGGACACGCCGCTCCATGCAGTAAATAGGAAGTTGTCATCCGTAAAGTTGTATGTTTCATAATTGAAGAAGGGGTGAGAAGAAGAGGTTGTGAGATTGGTGATGAAAGAAGAATTGAGGAAGGACTGGTGGGAACAGTTTATGAGATTGTGTGTTGAGAAAGAACTGAAGAAGGCTGGGAAGAAGAGGTTGTGAGATTGGTGATGAAGGAAGAATTGAGGAAGGACTGGTGGGAACAGTTTATGAGATTGTGTGTTGAGAAAGAACTGAACAAGGCTGGGAAGACAACGTTGTGAGATTGGTGATGAAGGAAGAATTGAGGAAGGACTGGTGGGAACAGTTTATGAGATTGTGTGTTGAGAAAGAACTGAAGAAGGGTGAAAGGAAGAAGACGTGAGATTGGTGATGAAGGAAGAATTGAGGAAAGACTGGTGGGAACAGTTTATGAGATTGTGTGTTGAGAAAGAACTGAACAAGGCTGGGAAGACAACGTTGTGAGATTGGTGATGAAGGAAGAATTGAGGAAGGACTGGTGGGAACAGTTTATGAGATTGTGTGTTGAGAAAGAACTGAAGAAGGGTGAAAGGAAGAAGACGTGAGATTGGTGATGAAGGAAGAATTGAGGAAAGACTGGTGGGAACAGTTTATGAGATTGTGTGTTGAGAACAAGAACTGAATTGGTGAAAGGCTGAAAGGAGGAAGGACGTGAGATTGGTGATGAAGGAAGAATTGAGGAAAGACTGGTGGGAACAGTTTATGAGATTGTGTGTTGAGAAAGAACTGAAGAACGCTGGGAAGAAGACGTGAGATTGGTGATGAAGGAAGAATTGAGGAAAGACTGGTGGGAACAGTTTATGAGATTGTGTGTTGAGAAAGAACTGAAGAAGGGTGAAAGGAAGAAGACGTCGTGAGATTGGTGATGAAGGAAGAATTGAGGAAAGACTGGTGGGAACAGTTTATGAGATTGTGTGTTGAGAAAGAACTGAAGAAGGGTGAAAGGAAGAAGACGTCGTGAGATTGGTGATGAAGGAAGAATTGAGGAAAGACTGGTGGGAACAGTTTATGAGATTGTGTGTTGAGAAAGAACTGAACAAGGCTGGGAAGAAGACGTTGTGAGATTGGTGATGAAGGAAGAATTGAGGAAGGATTGGTGGGAACAGTTTATGAGATTGTGTGTTGAGAAAGAACTGAAGAAAGCTGGGAAGAAGACGTTGTGAGATTGTGTTTTGAAGAAGAATCGAAGAACTGGTAGAATGAAGAGGTTATAGGATTGTGTGTGAAGGATTGAAGAACTATCTGAGGATTGATGCAGAGGTGCTGTTGAGTGAAATTCAAAACTATTCTTTGGCTAGTTCTGACAAACACCGAATATAAGTTCACTTCAGACAAACTCTGTCAGAAATATGAGAACCCAATCAAAATGAAAGATGTATGGGTTCTTTAGCCAATAAGATGTAAGCATTCTGAAATGTTTTGCTTCATTTCTGTACCACCTTGTTTGTTTCAAGACTAGTAAACCTTTCTGCCAGTTTCTGGGTGTATATATCATGGTGTTTGGAAAGAAAAGGGTGTTTATGGTTACCTCAGCATAACCATAAGTATATGTGCTAATTGTATCCTTTATCATTATCATTCAGAACTGGCCAATTACATTCATAATAAACATACAGAAATCAGAGATGTCCCTGTGCTTTATTCACTCACAGTAGGAATTTGGCAGCCTTCACTCACTGTATATTGGCTGATTATACGTATCGGGTTGGATAGACCTCGACAGAGAGAGGTATCAAATCATAATATAAGTGGCTTGTCATGTTTCCATTGTTGTGACAGCTGACTGGCCTGGTGCTGCAAGCTGCAAAGAGACTTCAGATCAACATGCATGTTGTCCCCATCTCAGATGTACAGTAAGTTAGAATGCAGCAATCTCTATAGTAATCTTGTATTAGTTGTATTGGCATACCACAGTAATCTTGTATTAGTTGTATTGGCATACCACAGTAATCTTATATTAGTTGTATTGGCATACCACAGTAATCTTGTATTAGTTGTATTGGCATACCACAGTTATCTTGTATTAGTTGTATTGGCATACCACAGTAATCTTGTATTAGTTGTATTAAAATACCACAGTAATCTTGTATTGTATTGACATACCACAGTAATCTTGTATTGTATTGGCATGCCACAGTAATCTTGTATTGTATTGGCATACCACAGTAAACTTGTATTGTATTGGCATACCACAGTAATCTTGTATTGTATTGGCATGCCACAGTAATCTTGTATTGTATTGGCATACGACAGTAAACTTCTATTGTATTGGCATACCACAGGAATCTTGTATTGTATTGGCATACCACAGGAATCTTGTATTAGTTGTATTTACATACCACAGTAATCTTGTATGGGCATACCACAGTAATCTTGTATTAGTTGTATTGGCATACCACAGGAATCTTGTATTCTATTGGCATACCACAGTAATCTTGTATTGTATTGGCATGCCACAGTAATCTTGTATTGTATTGGTATACCACAGTAATCTTGTATTGGCATACCACAGTAATCTTGTATTAGTTGTATTGGCATACCACAGTAATCTTGTATTGTATTGACATACCACAGTAATCTTGTATTGTATTGACATACCACAGTGATCTTGTATTCTATTGGCATACCACAGTAATCCTGTATTGGATTGGCATGCCACAGTAATCTTGTATTCTACTGGCATACCACAGTAATCTTGTATTGTATTGGCATGCCACAGTAATCTTGTATTCTATTGGCATACCACAGTAATCTTGTATTGTATTGGCATACCACAGGAATCTTGTATTAGTTATATTGGCATACCACAGTAATCTTGTATTGGCATACAACAGGAATCTTGTATTAGTTGTATTGACATACCACAGTAATCTTGTATTGGCATACTACAGGAATCTTGTATTAGTTGTATTTGCATACCACAGGAATCTTGTATTGGCATACCACAGGAATCTTGTATTGGCATACCACAGGAATCTTGTATTAGTTGTATTGGCATACCACAGTAATCTTGTATTGACATACCACAGGAATCTTGTATTAGTTATATTGGCATACCACAGTAATCTTGTATTGGCATACCACAGGAATCTTGTATTAGTTGTATTGCCATACCACAACAGTTCTGTATCAGTTGTATTTTCAAAAATCCTCTGCATGTCGAGGAAACTTTTCATGTCTGAGATGCTGTAGATTTCATCAATGATTGTCATGAAATCTTTTACTTGCTCCACAGGCAGACAGCAAACATCAAGCCAGTAGTGATGCCAATATTTTGGGTGAATGAGGTAAATATACCCCTAAAAATTATATTATGCTTTGAAGCGGATTCAAGGGAGAATAAACCCCTAGTAACCATTGGGGGTGGGCGATGATACAGGTTTACCGGTTCATTGCAATTCGAACTTCACAATATGATATATTGCTTTTCGCGAACCGGTTTGCCCGATACGATCGCCAATTTCCGTGACCATGATCGGTAATTTTCGTGATGTAGTAAAAAATACTAACAATATTTGTATTTCCTTTATATTATTACACATAAATAGTTTTGAGAATGTTTATTGGTCATATAATTGCATTAAACCATATAAATTAAAAAAATAGATTGGTATGGTACTACTGGCACTCGTAGGGACAAACAAGCCGAAATGGCGGATGCCGCTGCAGACGCTTTTTCCAAAATATAGAGCGAAGTCTTCAATTTGGAAACATTTTCAGTTGATCTCTTGAACAATCACATCTGAGTCCTGCCAGTGGCCAGTGGCATTGTCTTAAAAGAAAGGAAACAGTAATTTCATTACCTTAAACCATGTGTTACACTTTCACAATATATTGCAATGCATATTGCAATACGTCAACACATATCACAACATATTGCAATACGAACATTTTGGCAATAACCAACCCCAGTACCCATGCATGTCTCCCTGTGGAGATGAACGGTTAACATGTTCCTTCTATTGTCAGAGTGCAGCTGTTGATGATGTCCACGCTAAGCAGCTGCAGGATCTGCTGTTCACGCCGCTACTGGTCACAGATGTACTCAAGTATGGTCTTATTGGTATTGGGGCAGCCATGTTTCTCTGTTCTGCAATCTACGCAATATGCTTCTTGAAGGTAATATGTATGTAAAGTTGACACATATATGCAAATGACTTGGTTCAAAGATATGTTTGTGTGTGGGTGGTAGTAGTGTATCATCGGATCGTAAGTTTTAGGCAGCAGTGCTTACTCAGGATTAACTAAGGCTTCGTTGAATACATATAATTTTGATAGAAACAAATGGGAGTGTGAGACAGACTAATTCTGGCTATAGCAGGTCTACATTTTATAACTGAATTCAGATAATATGTTAGTGTTTGAAATCAATTGAAAAATATCATCAAAGATCAACTTAAATGTGCAAATGCTTTCCCTGGCAGGATTGGAACCATATATTTCAGATTCATAAGCAAACGCTCTACCTCACAGCCGCTTGGCCGACAAAGAACAAGGGTTGAATTATTTATTTATAGTTAGGCTTACTGTCATTCAATTGATTTTACTAGCGCTTCAGTTACTGTTATGTAGCTTCATTACATGATCATCTAATTATCCTTCATTGACGGTTTGTATGTATAATAAAGCATTCCTCCTCGAGGTCTTACTTCTCTCCACCCTCCGGTCTCGGGTCTTACTTTCCCAACCATAACCTCGGGGTCATGCTTTATCCTACACTTATCAATTACCTTTGCATTCACAAAAAAAACCTTCACTCCATCCAGTTGATCATGATGATTTCACTGTGGAAGGGTGGGGTTGTTCCTGACCTGGCTATCACAGTTTTATATCCAGGGTGCATTGTGGCATCTAATGAAACTCTGTGTCTTAACCCTGCTTTCAAAATGTACAATGATATTTGTTTTGTACCTGTGTTATTTGTGGTGTGGTTGGAGGGCGTCACCATGTTGCTTAAAGTTGTGTTGGCTGATTGATTCTTGATGCATTTATGCTTGTCTGATCATCATCATCATCATCATCATCATCATCATCATCATCATCATCTCTTCCAATGCATAGATGGGAAGGTGGGGTGGCCTTGTCACGCCGAAGACCCTGGTTCTATTCCCCACATGGGTACAGTGTGTGAAGCCCATTTCTGGTGTCCCCTGCTGTGATATTGCTGGAATATTGCTAAAAGTGGCGTAAAACTAAACTCACTCACTCACTCCAATACATAGATAACAAGTAAAAATATCCATTATGGAGTTTACTTAAGATTGATAATGAACAATTCTAGAGAGTAGGTTTATTCCTTTTCATCTTAAGGTTATATATGTCTCAATTCAGAACTTGTCCATTACTTACAGTCCCCTAAGAGTTCAACAAACAGCAACGAAAGATCTGGAGCCGGCCTCGACATTGACAATCCAGACGAGACCACGCCTCTATTGTACGATGAAGCTTACACTGGCTACAACGGCCACACAAACAGGTTACAAGAGGGCAGCGCTTCCCCTAACATCAACCAGCCAGAGAGGGACACTGCAAGGGCTGACACTCCCACTGACACTGATAACATGCAAAGGGACACTGCAAGATGCAATGCTTCCCCTAAGACTGATAATATACAAGAGGACACTTCAGGGACCAAGACTCCACCTAGCAGCGATAATATGCAAGAGGACACTCGAGTGTCTAACATTCCGTCTAACACTGACAATATGCTAAATTACACTGCTGGACCCAAGGCTCCACCTAGCAGCGATAATATGCAAGAGGACACTGGAGTGTCTAACATTCCGTCTAACACTGACAATATGCTAAATGACACTGCTGGACCCAAGGCTCCACCTAGCAGCGATAATATGCAAGAGGACACTGCAGGAATGAACACTACCTCTAACAATGATAATATGCAAATTGACTCTGCAATGTCTAACATTCCGTCTAATACCGATGATATGCCAAACCACACCGCTGGACCCAAGATTCCTCCTAGCAGTGATAATATGCAAGAGGACACTGCAGGAATCAACACTACCTCTAACAATGATAATATGCAAATTGACTCTGCAATGGCTAACATTCCGTCTAACACTGACGATATGCAAAACTACACCGCTGGACCCAAGATTCCTCCTAGCAGTGAAAATATGCAAGAGGACACTGCAGAAATCAACACTACCTCAAACAATGATAATATGCAAATTGACACTGCAATGGCGAACATTCCTTCTAACACCGACAATATGCCAAAGCACCCAGCTGGAACCAAACCACCCCTGAACACTGACAGACAAACTGGTGACACTACAGGGACAGACACGTGATTGTTACACCGTGAGCAATATCCCTGGCTGATAATGATGGGCCAAACACAGTGTTAATCTATACAGTAACTGCTCTCCGCAACGGAATCGACGTTGAAGCTGGTAATGTCTGAAGACAGTCTTGTAGGACAGCAGGAACTCTTACATGGATGTCTATCACTATTCATGATCACTTGCCTGCTCATCATGGAGCAAGAGGACCTGCTCATTCAGAACACCACTCAACAGTTAAATTGCTCCAAGGGGGATAACTCTGGGACTTTGCTATAACCTCCCAAACACAGTCATAGGTTCCAGCTTTGAACGTACAGGAATTCCTGGGACCAGAGACCATATAATAGATGGTCTCTGCTGGGATCAAGTTTACCTTCAACCGTGAAAAATCTTCATTGATATTGTTTGAATTCAGGTAAATAAGTCCAAAACGTCTGTGATGCTGCTGTTTTGAATGTTATTGTATTTACAACAAATACCTGGTCTCTGTGTGATATTATTATGATGATGACGACCAGGTGACCGAAGAACAGTGCTTCAGAAAGTTTAATAGTTTTGTAAGAGTTTATATAATGTAAACCTGTTTATCTGGGTGGAAAGGTATCAATGGATAAGGTATAAGAATAATTTTCAAATCACGAGAGTCATCAAATGTTCTCATATGAATAAAAATGAAACTTAGTCCATTTTATGTTTGAGATTTATATTAACACAAAATGAATAGGCAGGTCATGCTATGCCTAGTGCTTAGGTTACAGATTAAGACGAGGACTGGCATTGTCGGTTGCAGAGAATAGTTGGATGAGAGTTTCTAGGATTTTGGTCCGCCCTTTCTGTAGGATAATGACTGTATTAATGTGTCTCTGTTCACTCATCAGTGGATGGGTACCAGGTAGGATGAGATGATGTGGCTGTTAATCTTCCATCCTCAGCGGCAGCATGGGTTGTATATTTACATCTGAAGGAGACATTGAATAATAATCCGGTACACACTGATCCTTTGACCGAGATGCTGTTGTTAGTGGTTTCATTTACCTTTATCCTACCTCGTCCTATTCATTCATTAGTGTCCATTGAATATATCAGGTACATTTGAAATAATAAGTAGTGCAAGGATGAATTTTACAGCCTAATTAGTGAGGATTAATGAGACCATATCAAACTATAAGCATACTGAACACTGACTTCTGTACTGTACATAACCTCTCAATAAGGGTTGTACAGTCAGGGATAGAAATACTTTTTTTTCTAAGTGTGCCTTAGGGCACCAGACAAATATTTTGGGTGTGCCTTTCAGAAATCGAGTATGCCCACATGTTTTTAGAATAAATGACAATGATCATGATCATTTGAAATTTAGTGTTAAATAAAGAAATGGGTTTATGAGCATTCAAATATGTATGGTATTATTCAATTTGGAAAAAAATAATTGGGGATTAAATGACTAAATGTAAGTAAAGTCTCTAAAATATTAGGCGTGTCAAAAGGGCACGAGAACATTTTTTAGCCGTGCCATTTCAATATTTACTGTGCCATGGCACCGTAATATATGGGATATTTCGAACCCTGACAGTACAATGCTTCAAGCATGTATGAAAGTTATAACAGATGTATATGTACACACTTTGTTGTATTAGAGGGTCACATGGAATATAAGTGTGAGTATACTGGAAATGTTAGGTTTTGGACAGATTGAAATCTTCTCTACAGTGATTGGCAAAAGAAATTATGGGCATTGCAATAGGAGATTTAACTAGGGGCCATTTGTTCAAAACACTTCAAAATACAAAAATGATACTCATATCAGTTATTTCGCAATCAATTAACCATTTCTTGGTGTTTCATTTTTAGGAATTTCTGGTATCTTCTGCTGTGATATTGCTGGAATATTCCTAAAAGTGGCATAAAACCATACTCACTTGATCATTATTAGTTACCATCAAACATAGTCTGGCAGATTATATTGCTGTATTTTTGACAATTGGTCAATGATTCTTAGTGTGTCACTTTATGAATAGTCTTACAAGACTGACAGAATGACACTGTGAGCACTGACTATGCTGATAGACATCATATAAATGAGGTTTCTCTGACTACAACTGATATCGACTCATAAATATTCATAAATGAAAGCCTTATTGCATAAATGGTACAAACACGCCAATGTAGCCAATCACTAGATGTCTTTTTCTCATTTTGTAGTATCTATTAAAATCAAGAAACATTCAGGGTAGGTATTATGATGTCAGGTACCAATTTGAGGCTGCTTGTTACCATGAATCCTGATTGGTGAGGTAACTCAATGCACATTGATAAGCTTCCAAATACGGTTCTAGCAGGTTATAAAATATGTGTATGTTGAAAAGTGAACTGTTTGTTTGGTTTGCATTTTTAGCAGTGCCAGAACCTCTTAATCCTTACACTTTAGATGATCACAGATCACCTTACAATGCTAATACAGGTCAAGTGATATAGAACTTGATATTGACCATCTACAGGTCACTTTTATGCAGTTTTATTATATGTGTGAGGAAGGGATTGTGTGTGAAAAATTTAATAATTTTTATGAAATGTCATGAAAACATTTTGTTACAAAATTTATTTTTATTTTTATACTTATGTAAATATAGAAATTTTGTTATGACTTTTTATCCAACACCATTATGGGTATATTCGGAAGTTATGTTTTTAGATGTGTTTTGGGTAGGGTCTATGCAGTATGCTTGAAACAATGAAGTGCCTTCTATTTATTGTAGATGTGTCTCAAAATGGCTGTGTATTCAAGAGCATTGAAGCACATATTCTATGTCTTGCGTTTGTGCCAAAACTATTGTTCATATTCCTTATTTTTTGTGTATATTTGTGTTGATGTTTTAGTTTTCAACGAAAGGTAACCATGTCAACCATAAATTTCACAAAGGCGAAAGAAACTGTTTTCCTCTTTTTAAGTCTTTTTAACTTGAATAATGAGAAATGGTGGGGGATTTACTTGGGAAGAACTAGGCATGTTCCCCATGTTCCCCAATAACTGATGCATGTTCAACATGGCAATTTAAATGATTGTATGGTTAGTTTTGGATGGAGGTGGTGGGATAGCCTTGTGGTTAAAGCGTTCGCTCGTCACTCCGAAAACCCGGGTTCGATTCCCCACATGGGAACAATATGTAAAGCCCATTTCTGGTGTCCCCTGCCGTGATATTGCTGGAATATTGCTAAAAGCGATGTAAAACCATACTCACTCACTCACTCACTCACTAGTTTTGATGATTGTTTGTCTCAAATTCCTGCTCATAAAATCAGTCACTGGTTTGCATGTACAAAATTTGATTGTGTACAGGATGTTGTCATAAAGTTAAAGGCCGGGGTGCAAACCTCAAAAACCCATGGGTTTCCACATAGTTACCCGTTGGGTACCCTTCAGCAGTGTAGATGTTACCTGCCGATGAGTGACAGAACTGTAAGGGCTATGGTAGTCAGTCTCACAGTCCCTGAACCACATTATTTCCCCTAATGCCTAGCCCTCCGTGCAATGCTAAAGCCCTAAATGAAGCAAGTCTAGATTTCCCCAGGTTCATCTCTGGTCTCACAGGGGCTCCTTTTCAATTTAAATGGGTTTATTTGCTATTATCAAAATTATATATATTCAGGGACTAAACGTTAGTCTAGGGCTATGGGTGCCTGGCAAGAGTCTGGCGATGCCAAAGGTTAACCTTGGAATTTATTAGAATACACATGTGCCTTGTAAATGTCCGACAACACTTTCACAACATAGTTTGATGACTAAAGTGATTAATTTGATTAGCATATATGAAATTTCAATTTTTACTTATTTTCTGAAAATAATCTTCATCATGGTGATGTCAGCGTGAGATAAGTGTACTGCCCCAGCCCTGCACAACATAGGGTATGAGAAATGGGAGGGGTTCATTTTCACAGCCTGCCTGAAATATGAACCCCCAAGTGAAACTTTTAACCCACTCACAGGCTTGTTTCTATGGAAACGTGCCTCCTCAGACCACCTGACTAATACAGTGGGAAATACTAATCTGGATTTAAAAAAGAGAAATATGTTTTCAAAATGTATGTTTTGTAGGCTGCCTGCATTCATACATTTTACTGTGAACCTTCATAACATATTCTTCATGTGTCAATTTGTGATGTTTCATGGAATGTACTTGAATACTGCATTGCTTTTAGTGGTGGTCCGATTAATTGAAATAATCGAAGATTGGTCACAGTGACTAAACGACCAAGCAATCGATCATGTTTTCTCATAATCGAAAACAAACAATTCTGGAACATTTGTTTTCATCAACAATATTTTCACAAGGTTGGTTTTATCTATTACATTTCATAAGCACTACAAGCTTGTTCCAAGTCGTGATTGAATTCATCTTAAAGACACCAAGAAATTTATGTTCCTAACATACTAGTCATCCTTTAAAGATGTGAAATTTTGCCAAAAACACCCCAAAATAACTACATGTTTCTTTCCTTATTTTTAGTGTGCATTAACAAATTTCATAAATGACGCTAACCAATTATTTTCGATGATTGATCGGTGGTAATGAACCAATCATCAATTATGAGATTTTAACCAATTCCCAACACTAATTGCCTGGCATTGAAAGACAGCTCTTACAAGGCAAGGAGGCCACACCCCATCTGTGTATAGGTTTGAACCCGGCCTTTTAAGAAATATTTCTGAGTGTGAAAAAGCCAGAGTCATTTCAGTGAGGTAACACGTGGCATTCAGTGCCAGTCAGTATAGGGATGACAATAACAAGTGATATTCCAGTTCCTCTTTTCTTGACTCACCAGTCAGTGCTTTAAAGAAATAATTGTTTTAACAAAGATTTTTTATATTTTATGTATATTTCTATATCAACCAAAAAGTTCAAATTTGAGTGAATATTAAATATCTGTATGTACAATTAATTATGTTCAGTTTGATATGCCAATATTTTATTGGTGCTTGTTAGATGTTGCTTCCACATTTTAACAGATAATTGATGTTCAAATGAATGTTTGTGTGTAGATTTGCATAATTTTAAAGACTGATAGGCATTTTAACGTGCTCTTAGTGTTTTACCTCCATTTAAGTGTAGGTTGTGTCCTGATAGTGTATAATGTGATTGTTTTATTGAGTTTTTTTTAGATTGTTGGGTGGTCAAGGGGTTGAAGTGTTAGCTTGCCTACATGAGGACCCGTGTTTTATTCCCCAAAAGATTTCAATTTATGAAACCAAGATTTGGTGTTTTCTTCTCTGATATGGCTGGAATATTGCTGATAGAAGCCCCAAACCTGACTCACTCACTCACTCACTCTGAGTTGTTTGGGTTCATAAATGTGATATTTGTTTGGCTGTGTATGTAGAATGTGTTATGTTGACTTTTTGTTTATTTGTATATGAATTATATACATGCCTGTGATGTATGCGTGTATTAAAACAGTAATGTTTGTATAACAAAATAATCAGACCTGAAATTACATGCTTTGTATTGACATATATTTCAAGATATGGATTGGCACTATCTATATGGCACCTCAAGTTATGTCATATTACTTATCTCAAGAGATGCAGTGTCATGGTATATATCCCAAAATATACATTAGCATTAGAGGTATCTCTTGATATCCATTGTCACTATGTACATTGACACTATATGTATCTTAGGATCCATGTCATGATATGTCTTTGAAAAAAAAGATGATAACACTAGTGTTGGGAATTGGTTGAAATCTCACAATTGATGATTTGTTTATTACCAACGAGTAATCATCGAAAAAAAATTGGTTGCCGACATTTTTTGAGATTTTCCAGTTCAGGTTGTTATTGCAGATAAGTATAACATGATGCAACTTGCTACATTAAAGTGATGACGAAATTTCCTGTACATAAACTTCCTGGCGTCTTCAAGAAATATTCAGTCATGACTTTTCTGTAAGTGAAGTTAGTTTTCTGAGAATTAAACACGTTTTCCAGCCCTGACAACTTCAACAATATGTTCCATTGTCAAGTGTTTCAAACACTAAAACAGTAGTTCCAAAATCGTTTGTGTTCGATTATGAGAAAATGTGATCGATTGCTTGATAGTTTGTTCACTCCGACCGATCTTCGATTGTTTCAATTAATCGGAACACCACTAGATGACACACCATGGTTGTTACACCTGCTGATGATGAATTTACTTGATGTTTTGGATGTATACAAACCAGTTAAACTGATACAACTATAGGTCATTATGAGAATCATAGAGAAATGTTGTATCAACCATAAGATGTTTTGAGAAATCACTTAAATCTG